AATATCCACTACTATATTTTTTTTTGTCAATTTATGTTTTTTTATTAAATGTTTGCATTCAACTTCAAACAATTCATCTCCTTTTATATTAATTCAAATGACATAACTCCAAACCGTTCATCTTTTCCAATCAATCATTTATTTATATATAAAAAAAAAACAACCATTTATTCATCTTCATCTCTCACACCCTCTCAAATTCTATCTATATCATATACATCTCTAAATTTATTTTCTTTCTCTTTGGTTTTTCTTCTATTTTACTATTGATAATCTTCATAGTTTTTTTTTCACTTCTCCCATAATTTTATGTATGTTTGTATCGTTATTTAGATTGCATTACAGTTTTTATGCATTACATCATGAAGATTTGAAGAAGTCTTCAAGTTCAATATTTGATTTTTTTTGTTGCAATATAAGGTAATAAATTTATATTGATTTGTTTCATGATTTTGATTGCATTATAATTTTATTTATGTTTGTATCGTGATTTTGTTTTCATTATAACTCTTATGTATTAGGTGAAGATTTGAAGTGTTCAAGTTCACTATGTAATTTTTACTTATGTTGAACGTTTTTTGGTTTGCAGGTTTTCGAGTTCTTTCACTTTTATATATTAAGTCTTGAAAATTTGAAGTTTTCAAGTTTGGGTTGTGGGAATTTATGATTATGATCTAAGGTAAGGATTTTATGCAAGTTTGTTTTGTAATTTAGAGTGTCTTAGAATGTTATGTATGTTTGTATCATGATTTTGATTGGATTATATTATTAAGTATGTTCGTATCATAAGTTTAGTCGTATGATAACTTTATGTATGTTCATGTTGTGATTTTGATTGCATTATAATTTTATCTATTTGGGTTATAAAGATTTGAAGTCTTTAATTTTGATATGTGATTTTTTACATATTGTATGGTTGGTTCATTTACTATTGTGTTTTTAAAGTCAAGGTGTGTGTTGAGGATGAAAATGGGTACTTGTACATCATCCTTTTTGGTGTTTATACATCGTAATCATCATTACACAAAAAAACTAAGTTTTTTGTCGTCAAAACTAAGACAATAATAATTTCCCTGTCTATGATGAATCCAATTTAAATTTTAGCTGTTCTATTTTTGACCAACCATAATTAGCTATTGCTTACAACAATCGGTAAACTTATAATATAACAAATGTTATTGCTTATATACCTTGCATTGTATGATTCCTGAAGATTAGAGGATATTATATTTCATTCAACAATCAATAAAACACTCTTATTTTATTTCCTATTATTTAACTGTATTATAAATTTAGTTATATCACTGTTATATTGTGATTGCACATCCAATTATTCAGATGACTATATGTACATGAATTTATTTTAAAAAAATCTTAAAAATAAGTGTTACAAGCTAAATTGAAAAGATTACTTTTGCATACACCTACAATAGTGCTCAATATTAATCATACGATACTTGCGGTTTGCGGCTAACAATTTTTATACAAATTGAACTTCAATATCGAATCATTGTTCTACAACCGAAAAATATAAAATGTATGAAGTTCTTTAGTTACAGGAAACAATATCAATGAAAAAAATTTGCATCAAAAACACCCCAATGCAATCATCGTCTTATATTACAATTTATTATGAAATTATGTTTCACCTTAATTTGATTACGTATTTTCTAACAAAACAAGTTTCATCACTATGCAACATGCGGTGTGTGAAATAAGAACCAAATGGTTGTTCAATGAAAAGTTTTCTATCATATTTATATTTATTATTTATTTATTTATTTATAATATACAATCAACATATTAATTGTTAAACCTTTCATTTTCCTATTTTTTTAACATACATAAAACTACATATATTTTATTTTATATCAATAAATGTACATTTTTAATTACATGACAATTGAAAAAAATAAAAATCATCAAAATCAATCAACATATATCAAAATACATTAAAATTTCTCAATCAATCAATACATCAATATAGAATTAAAAATATATTAAATTAAGAACCAAGAGATGGTTCAATGAGAAGTTTCAATCATATTTATCTTTTTTTTTTCTTTATATATGAAATTATAATGTACATATATTTATTTTTATTTACATCAATGTATATAAATTTTTATGTACATGACAATTGAAAAAAATTAATCATCATAAATCAATCAATATATATCAAACTGTCTTACAAATTTCAATCCAAACTGTCTTACAGATTTCTTTTTACAACAAAACAAGAAAACGAAAAGTTGAAGTTAGATTTCTACAATGTCTTAGGATTGACTCATTGTATATTTTAAGTTTTCCAATATGGTTCTTTTTTGCTTCTTTCAATTGATTTTCTTACATCAATGTAAGTTGAAATATTTGAAGGAGACATATCTTTATGTGGAGTATTTTTTATTCTTGAGTTTGTGTTAGATTCCTTAATATTTCCGTCGTTATTATTACTCATTTTATTTAGTTTTACAACTTTATTCCTAAACAAACCTCTCTCTTTCTATATATATATATATTTTATTTAATTTTTTCGAATTATTTGAATACCATTTGTTGATGATTTTATTAACAACTAATATATATTTATATAGACAATATTCAGATCATTAATCAAATTATTCGTACTGTTATCGCGTGGTTCCCATACTAGTTAACTGGAAAGGGAGAATGTAGAAAGTGGAGAGGAGATGCAAATGGTAGTGCAGTGTATGCATCGGGATTGGCAGCTTCTGTTCACTGAAAACTTGATTGACTAGCGACCATCATGGGCCATGGCAATATATACATATGCATGGTCACCATTCGCATTGCACACAGTCGGTTGGTGAGGTCACATAACTATTTATACCAAATGAATCACAAGCTACTAATCGCAATCATAATACTTATGATATCAATCTAAAATATACCTATATATATATATATATATATATATATTAGAAAAGTATTCGCGTAATGTGACGAGACACATCTCGATTTAAATGTTTTGTTTTATTTTTTATCTTTGTCGATGTTATAATACGATTTAATGTATTTTTAAGAAAGCAATAATGATTTTATTTTTGAATAAACTATAAATTTGAAAAAATCATAATAATTTGAAAAAAATATATCAATGTTAATATCAAATCAACTATTTAAAAGTTTTCATTTTTATGTAATTTCTTTAATTTATTTTTTAATTATAATTTAATTTAAGCTTAATAATAAAATAATTTATTTTTTATTTAATAATATAACATTTTATAAAGATAATAATTAAGTATTCTGTTAGAACTCAATGATTATTCTAATTATATTTTAGATTTTTTATATTTAAAATGAGATGTTTATCCAGTATTTGATTATGTTTATCTGCAGTTAGTTACACGAATTCAGATTTGGAGCTTTAATAAGTTGTACTTACGCACACAATCTACTTGTAATATTGAGTTTTAAGTAACATGCATTAATAAACAGTACTTTATGCATAAAAAGTGATTTTTAAGTGTTTTTGTCAAATGTTTTATAATATAGTATATATACATATATATTGCATTAATTAATCTTGTAACGTTTAAAATTAAAATATCATATTTAACTTATTTGGAAAATGCAAACATGATTTTGAATTTTGCAGTCTTAATATTTGGGAGAAAAATGATACACTCCAAATTGTCACATGAGATGTTTGGATGTTTTGAGGCTATTGTCTTAAATTTAAAACAAACCAAATGCAAGTTGAATATAGAATTTAATTATGTAATAATTGCTATTTATATACTTTAATTTGCACAATGGATTTCATTTTGAACTACTCATTTAATTCTTTTTGTAATTTTTCCATTTCATAATATTAACATGTATATAAAATATCTTAAAACCCAAGGAATGTTTTCGTAAACTCTTTTTCGATATTTTAAATTATTTCAGATATATTTAGAGAATCTCCAACAACTATACTGTATATATATATATGTTCTCTAAATTTTTAAAAATAGCATAGCTGTTGGTTATGTTTATAATGCAGCTAAAATTCGTAAGTTATGGTTGAATGGAATTGAATTGAGTACCATTTTACATTCTTTTTCATAATCAACAAACTTCGAAAAATGTAACATTTAATTTGTAATTAATAGTCTTACGTCAATATGTAGCTAAAGTCACATTTTCCAAGCTTCTTTAAATAAATCATTGAAAAACAAATACACCATATGGTCTTATATCATAATCATTGTAAATTACGGCCTTTGAATATATATATATATATATATATATATATATATATGGAGGTTCAAACGAGAACACATTTATTTTACGAGAATGTAAGAACATCTTTATCACATGTGATAATACACTAGAGTGGACTTGGTTGTGTATGGATGTCATGCCTTGCGACTTAGGTCGTACCAAAGATCATCTAGCGTCTATAATTTAGTATCATATGTGATCGTCTTGATGGATTATTATATCACATAAATACCACATTTATCACATGTGATAGTACATGTAAGGGGGCTTAGTGGTGTAAGGACGAGTTGGCCTACAACCTAGATCGCGTCAGACGTCATCCATATCTCTGATTTAGTATCACATGTGTATCATATGTAATCGAATAATAGTATCACATGTGATTGTTTGTGATGAAATGATGTTCTTACGTTCTCGTAAAATGAAGGTGTTCTTGTTTGAACATTTCCATGTATATATATATATATATATATATATATATATATATATTTATATATATGTATATGTATTTATATCGATTTGATATGTGTACGGACGAAACGGGTATCATTTGCGGATAATTCGTATTTTTTTCATAAAAGAAAATTGAAGAAAAGTCAACCTTTCTAAATCCATAGGCTCCAAATTCGTTCTTTTTCTTACCATTATACTACAAGAAGACAGAAAACTACTTTTTATAGTAACTAAAATTTTACACATTCTTAAACTAATTTTCTTTAAGGAAAGAAAACTAGAGAACACACTAATTAAACCTTAATTAATTAATTAATTAACACAAGAGGCTTAATTCTCTGTTAAAGAGGCTGGGAGGGGTTTGATTGGGTGGATGCATGAATTTACAGTTAGGGCATGAAGGTGAAGATTTGAACATCATCACCAACATATGACACTTCTTACACACCGCCGTCACCATCTCTTGTTGTTGATCTCCGCCTTCCAACGCCAGCCACGACGGTGCACCACCACCACCACCACCGATACTAGTCTTGTTGGACGGCGTCGTTGTGGTGCTTGATGAAGAAGTCTTGTAGTACTTTGAGAAGTTGTCAGCAACATGGTGTTTCATGGTGGTATCAGATGATCCACATGGTAGGTTAAGTTCTAGATCAAGGCTCATGCAGTTCTTAGATGGCTCTGGGCTACTTCTTGGATCTCTTGAAGTCTTTTTATGAGTTCTTGTGTTATAATAGTAGATTTGGCCAGACTGCATTCATTAATTAAATCAATTAATTATCAAGAATCCAAACCCTTCTAAACAAATATATATATATATATATATATATGTATATGTGTGTGTGTGTGTGTAACAACCCCAAAGAAGTTGTTTTTCAACCATGAAACTGTAAATTCATTCAAAACCCTAAAAATGGCATCCCAATGATTCAACAAAACCCTAAAAATAGCCTCTTTTTTTTCACCCAAGGGAGTGTAGAACTTCTGTTTTCCATCCATAAACTGCTTTTATAATTTTTTTTTATTAATCTGGATATCCAACTCACTATGCGAGCCGACTAATCCACTTGCTTTGTAGATAGCCCGGAGTCACCACCATAAGGGGATTTTTATTCCTTCTTAGATTTGAAACTGAGACCTCCTGATACTTTTGACCTTTAGCTCAAACCGATAAGACACCACCTTTGTGGTTAACTGTACTAAATTACCATTCAAAACCATGAAAATACCTTTTCCCGATTGATGAAAAACTTTTGTCATATCCATGAAATTGAGTCAAAAACTTATACTAGGTTTCTGAAAAATTGGGGTTTTGAAAAAACCAAATTAAAAGTACGGTTCTTTAAAGGAGAATTCAGAATTTTTTTGTCGATGTAATTTGTAGTATATTTACCTTGATATCGAGGCATCGTTGCCACTCTGAAGGCATGGGACTCTCGAGATGAAGCTCGGTGTCAAGTAGTGATTGTTTCGAGTATTTGGTTTTCCATGAAGGGAGATGATCATCCAAGAAATCTTCTGGTTGTAATGATCCATCACGTTTCCTCTTCTTTAAAGAATCCTCTGAATCTTGAATCATTGTTGATGTAGGCAAGAGAGATGCATGAAAAGACACCATATATATATATATATATATATATATACTTATATATATGTATATATATAGAGAGAGAGAGTAGAGAGAGTAGAGAGAGAGAGAGATGGCAAAGCTTCTCCCCTTTTTCACTGGTGATGAGTGCGTGTTTAAGGTGTTGTGTGTGAGATCAAGATAGTAGAATGGTGATGAGATTTATATAGAAGGGGAAGAGAAAAAGGGAGGTAAATGAGGTAGCATAAAATAAAATAAGCACATAACTGCAAGGGAGAATCTAAAAGGGGCAAAATATTAAATGTGAAACTAGTAAGGCCCCATCAAAACTCCCCATGACGTGCACTTCAAGTGAAGTTTGAGTTCTTGCAATTACTACATCAATTTTGTGTAGTTCCATCTACCAAACGTTTAAGTCATAACCAACTCTCTTTTTCATATATACATGATTAATATATATATATATACAGCTATATATATACATATATAATGAACCGATCAAAACAGTATGAACAGTTTGTTAGGTTATAAAATGAACTATCGGTTCATATATTGATCGATTGTTGCAATAAAATTCATGATCCATCAACTCATTGCTATAGTTGTTGATCGATCACACACCTGAATTCTTGATTGCGATCACCCATGTTGGTAAGTCAATTTTTAAATGATCGAAGTTAGCAAACCACCACACCTATAATTAAATGCAAGGTCTATAGTATATAGATGCATACACATTTGTCCGCCACAATTCATGTTCATTGATTATACGTTTCAAAAACTCGTTACAAGTCATAATCATCCATTAATTACATATACATGTATTACATGAAACAACCATGTAGTTATAGTAGAAGAGATATAATATTAATGGAGGACTGAAAAGTGAGAATTGGAGAAATGAAAGGGGGTGAAGTGTAATGTGATCATTAAATGAAGGGTAAGAAAGAGAGACTGAAATAGATACAGTTGAAAGGAAGCCATGAATGCACATAGAGCTTTAAATGGGGTTTCATTAAAAACCAACTTACACAATTGGGTGACTCAAAGAAGTAGAAAAACTTTAATTAAAATCACCCAACACCCCCTCGGCTATTAAATTTGATGTATTAATAACATGAGTCATCTTCCCCCTTTGAACTACTAAAACTTTTAAGGCTTTCCACAACCTCCTCTACACTCTTTAAATCCCACCATAAGTTTATTCATCTACTCCTATGAGAATTTATGTCCTCTCTCTCCATTTCTTAAACAACCATATTCAATTGTGTATTATTATCACTACAACAAAATCGGGTTTATAAAACACTTTCAATTTCTAAGTGTCCTAATAGACCTTTTTATAGGACCAAAAAAAATAAAGTGTCATATCTAAAGATGTTGTAATAAGTTTATATGACGTTTTTTGGCGTCGTAATAAGTTTTTTAGAACATTTTTAATATAAAGCGTTCTATTATTAACTTTATAGGACACTATTTGAAAAACTGTTCTATAAAAACAAATGTCTTATAAAAAATTGAGTTTATAACACACTTTCTGAAAAGTGTCATATAAAGTTGTTAATGCGACACTTTGTATTAAAAAATGTCCTAAAAACTTGTTAAGACGTCCAAAAGCGTCATATAAACTTGTTACAACACCTTTAGATATGATGTTTTATATTTTGGTCCTATAAATTAAATCCTATAAAATGGTTTATTGGGACGCTTAGAGATTGAAGATGTTCTATAAACTCAATTTTGTTGTAGTGTATATTTTCATTTTTATTTTGTCTTTGTGTTATTTATGGTTAAGGGTTTTTATAAGACTGTATTGTTATAATACTGTTGATTGTTTGACTCTTGAATAGTCACAAGCAGAAACAATTTACGTAAACATTTGAAATTGGTTGTTGTAATTTGAAGTCATGACAACGTGATAAATCGATTTCATAATAAACCAAGAGAAATCCCTATACCCGTATGTGTTTTAGCATAATTAGGGGTGTAAATGATTCGAGTCGAGCTCGAGTATCACTATACTCGACTCGAACTCGAAACCGAATTTCCAAGCTCGAACTTGACTCGAAAACTCACGAGTAGTAAAAATCAGAGCTCGACTCGAACTCGATAACTATTTCTCAAGCTCGAACTCGAACTCGAGCTAAACTGGAATCAAGCTCGAACTACAACTCGAATCAAGCTCGAACCAAACTCACTCATTGAAATTTATAAAACTTAGGGTCTTTCTCTTATAAATTTTAAAACTTAAAAGTGTTCTCTTAATTTTTATAAAAATAAAGAGATCAACTTCAAACTTCATCATCAAAAAGACAAAGTTAGAAAATTGCATTCATCTTCCTCTCTTTTTATAACATCTTTTCTTTCTTCCTTTACCATCTATCTTCCAATGTGGGACAACTTCACTAACTTTTTTTATAGTTTTTCTTTGTCTTTTTTTAATTGTTTAAATATCTAAAAATATAAGGCATTTATATTATTTATATTTCACATATTTTATCATAAAACCTGATTATATACTTTAAAACTAATTATATATAAAATAATCGAGTATCTCACGAGCTTTTCGAGTCGAGTATTGGGTAGCTTGACTCGACTCGTTAATATGTCGAGTCGAGCCTATTCGAGTCGAGTGTTGACCGAGCTTTGACCGAGTTGATCTCGAGTAGCTCGCGAGTTGTCTCGTATCGTTTACACCCCTAAGCATAATATTGTATACTTCTATCGATTTTACTGATATCAAATAATATGTCCGTCAAAATAGATGTTTGACGTTCATGATCAGGATATGAAACAAATTGTAATGTTCGTACGTTGTTCATCCACCAAAATAAGCACACCTTAGTGAACAAGTATTTAAGCTCGGAATGAACCAATTGATTACCTATTCCTGAAACCTGAAATTACAAGTTTTTCATATATCGTCATCAAGTTGTATTGCTTACTTCACAGTGATCACACGATTAGATGTGTATATTTGTACTAATGGTTAAAAGACTATTTTGCCATTAGATCATATATTGCACTTAAACCCGACATATTTTTCGTTGAACATAATTCTCCCTAGTGTTTCCCAACATCATGAGAAATTAAAGAGTTGATAGCCTAAGAAACAACATGTTTTCGGGTATTTGTCAATTTGGTATTGTGTTAAAACTTTTGAACAACTGGACAAGTTTTAAAATGTGATCATGTCGTTATTAGAATGGGAGTTTCACCTGTGAAAATTACCAAGGGAACTGTTCGGTCGAAAACTTCTGACACATCAATGACGGCTAAGCGACGCATATAGCTAAAACATCAAAACTACGTTGTAATGTATTAGTGACGGATAACTATTAGATTTTGAACAACGTTATTTCAACATGTTTTCACTTCCCTCCTATTTAGGTAGGTAGCTACTATTAGTTTGATAGTGAACAATTTTAATTGTATTTAAATATTCTTGGTGATAGTTTTGAATGCAATATGTTTGGTAATTTTCAATATATATACACACACATAAGGTTGAGTTTACGTGAGACCAAAGGTTTTTCGTGAGACTTGTTATACTAATTTATGTTCATTGATCAACTTTATAAGCTAATGATCTAATGATCTAAAATTGCACGGTGGCAATTTTGTGATTATTGAGAAGTCTCGTGACAATTTTTTGATTATGTATGTTCATATTGTAGATCTAATCTAAGGGTTGAGAATTGGTCTTACGGGTCTCACGAAAAACCCTTGGTCTCATATGATCCCAAGTCTATATATATTAGATCTACAATCTGAATATTCATAAACGCCACGAGGCTTCTCAATAATTACAAAATTGTCACCGTGCAACTTTAGACCATTAGATCATTAGCTTATACAGTTGATCAATGAACATAAATTGATCTTACGGGTCTCACGAAAAACCCTTGGTCCCACGTGAACCCAACCCTATATATATATGGGCCTAATCAAATGAGAATTAATCAGTTTGTGGTAACCATGAGATCCAATCTCAACCATAAATCAATAGATAAATTAGAAATTTATAATTTTTGTAATTTTGAATTAAAATTTTAATGCAAGTACATTTTAGATATTTTCCCTCCTCTCTTCTCTCGTCGTTCCCCATCCTCCGTCCCCCGTCCTCCGGTGATACCACAATGGTATCACAATGCATCATATATGTGCTTGGGTATCACACTGTGTCTTTTGTTTAACAGAGTCAATATTTTTAGATATCACAGTGTATCACCGCAGGCCGGAGGACGGAAAGAGGAGAGAGAAGAGAAAATACCTAAAATGTCCTTGCATTAAAATTTTAATTCAAAATTACCAAAATTATAAATTTCCTAATTTATCTATTGATTTGTGGTTGAGATTGGATCTCACGGCTACCACAAACTAATCAGTTCTAACTTGTATGGACCCCTATATATATATTGTGATGTACGACTAATTAAGGATGCCACGCTTTTAGTTTTAACCTCCGTCGGTAAGAGTTGTTCGTACAATTCCCAACCAAGTATTTTGGATCGGCTTTCGTCAGTAATAGACTTCGTATATAGATTACGGATGACTTTTTCTTCAATGAAACACAAATTCTGATAATAAAATTATGTTATGATTTATGTACATAAATTAATGCATTAATCTACAATTATTCAACATAAAATGGCGTTATATGCTATATATTTTTAAATGATGATGCCATGTGTAGCATAATAATTTTCTCTTCTTAAGTTCAATTATTTAAAAATGACAATTCATGTGATTAAATTGGCACATGACAAGTTTATTATATTAACCTTGGCAGAATTCAACTGATAAATAACTACTAAATTTTGGGTTCCTCTTTAATGTTATTAATTCGAGTCTTCCTAAAATCATTGGTGTTTTTCTTGACTGTTATATTATCAGTACAATATAGGATTAATTGAGACAGATACAAGTTTATACAAGCACTCAAAGTTAACAAAAATAGATTCATTCATGCTTCATATGTGAATATTGCAAGAAGCAATATTGATCTACAAACAGACACTACTAAAACAGAGGCTTTCCCCGATGGACAAATACGTCGGAAAAGTGGATTATTGGCAGATTTCTGGCAG